CTTTTCTGTATATATGTGTGTGTGTTTTATATATATTGTGAATAGGGGGTTAAAAATTAGAACACTTTCAAGCACCCTCCATGTGCAAAATAAATGCACACGTGTATGTATTTTCTGTTTTTTTTTTCATTTATTAACACATGTACATGCATGGGGGTTTATTAATTGAATATGATGTGTTGTGCTGCATTATTTTATTTTTGAGGTTAGGTACACATTTGTAATTTGAGACTGGCTGGGTAATTATTTTTTTAATTATTGTTTTTTATTTATGATTCAAATGTGGAAGAACTTGGGAGAAATTTTTAAAATAGTAAATTATTTTTTACCGTCCAATATAAGTTGGGAAGGAAGAGTAAGCAGAGCCCCTCTGAAATGGTCACTTTTCTGACAATTCGGAAGATTTTACTCAGAATATAACTTTTTTTGTCAAGTATCTGCCACTCCTTATAGTATTCTTTTAGATGCTCAAAAGAATTTCTAATCAGTCAAAAACTCCTTAAAGTATGCTATAAAAATGCAAAATATGAAAAATTCGTGTTAAAATTTACTCTAACATAATGTGTAATCGGGCCTTAGGTCTCTCTATTGTTATTAAGATAAAATACATTATTTTCTATAGACCTTCGAAATTTGCCAAAAAAAAGTTTATATGTATATCGGTTTATTTATTGGCCCCACTTGCCGATTTTCATCATCTTGAAGTTGTCTGCCACTAAATCAGCTATAATTTGACAATTTAGGTTATTATTAGGTAGAACATCTTTTTTCAAAAATTCCTCAATGTCTTATGGATATTTTATGCCCCCAGCCGCCATATTGCTAAAGAGGGCATATATCATTTGATACAGCCAAAACGTACCTCATCGAAATAACGGTTTTAGACCCTAGGTCTCTTTGGACCAAATTCTTTTCAGAACATTTGGAGTCGATCTAGCGATGTCTGTCTGTCTGTCTGGCTAGCTGCTGCGCACTATAACGATTTGGTCCAAACTTGGTACATCGTAATATTATTGTCAAACTTAGATCGAGTTTGGAGATTTGCAATATCGGTCACTTCTTCGGGTACCTCCCCCACAAAATATCAAAATTTTCAAAGAAAAAAAATTACTGCGCAGAAAGAGAAAGGATAATCCGATTTTGCTACAAATTTGCATTTGCATCAGTGCTAGATCAAGTGCGAAAATTGACAATATTGGACCACTCCATCCAGCATTTCCCCCACAATAATTTGAATAATTATAAATTTTTTTAAAATGAGATATGTACGTCTCCGATTGTCTTCAAATAACGCATATCATAATATTTTTATTAACCCAAGATCTGGTGTGAAGATGGAATATATTGATTTACTCCTTCTGGTACCTCCCCCACAAAGGTTCAAAATATTGAATATTCATGAAACTCATAAAAACATGAAATTAACATCCAATTCAATTCTGACTTGACACATCTCAATATTTCCATCAACACAATATCTGTTATAAAGATAGTAGAGATCGGACCATTCCTTCACGTACCTCCCCCACAAAGGGTCAAAGTTTTGAATAACCAAAAGGATCATAAACTCGTAAATAAGCATCTGGTATTTCTACCAACACAATGTCTGCTGCGAAGATGGTATATCGGTATATATTTTTCTGACATCTATTATCTGTTTGCTTGATAAAAGATTGTTTATTGTTTTATTTAGATTCCTTTGAATAATTTCTGAAATTTCTACCTTATCCTGCACCAGTAAAGAAAAGCTCAATATCCTGGCCAAAGTTGTTTCGGTTGTACTTTAATGGTCTCCTAATCAATCACATGTCTTATTTAGCTTAAAAAACCTTATTATTATTAACATTTAGAAACAATTCTCGCCTAAAAGTATGCAAACATATTACTCTTTTGATACATGAAGCCTTAATAAGAATAAATTGAATTGATATGGATAAATTTAAATTATTAAATTGTACATTTATACACACACACTGCTAGTTCCTTTCTAATTTGCATCGGTGTTTACCTACATGTAAAAATTTGAAGGCCCTAGCCTCAGTTGTTAAATCGGGACGTTAGTGAATCTCTCGGGCATTTTGTCTGTAATTGAAACATACATTTTAAGAGTCATATTTTGTGTTTTTTGAATGAATTCTTCATTAACAAATTTTCCAAATTCTAGTATGCACATTAGCAAGAATCTACAATTGTTACCATTAGTGCATATTTATGCTACGAACCCGATTTCCAAAATTTGTGGAGAAAAGAGTTGGAGCATGATTGTCAGCTTTTGATTGGCTGATATGTAAATTGTAAAGCATAATTTTGAAATCTTTGCTCGATTTCTGTTCCTTTATTTTCTGGTAAAAGCATTTCTCTAAGAGCAAGCTTCACATATCGCTCTTTTACTAGATTTACCATTTAGAAGGTATTAGGTATTTAGAATTTTTAAGTGCTCCCAACAATTTTAAACCTAGAAAAGTTATACTATTGCTCTGTTATAGTACCTACAAGAATCTACTAGTTTTGCAATTTTTTCGATATCATAAAGGGAAAATCGGTTATCGTACCGGTTATCGTCGTATCGGTTACATTCATGCAGTTCTGGAACAGACCATACAAAATATACTATAAAAACATTAATTTATTCTATGAAAAGTTTTACTTTAATTTCGAACCCCCGAAAGATCGATTTAAAAATGACAAATGATAATGTGAAACAGTAACTTGACATATAATTTTAACTCAATGTGTAAACTAACCATAACTAAATTTATTCAAAAGAATTTCAAAATTTATTTTTAAGACCCGAAAAACATTCCACAAGGGCCTATGTTGTATGAAGAAATTTTGTCCTGTTTAGCATTTCAATATTTATGAAAGTCTGTGACGGCTTGAAATGTCTTTTTTACATTTAAAAGAAATTTTACGTTGATACTTCATTTACATTTGACACGTGTGAACAGAATGTGCTAGGGTGGAACGCCAAATTCCAAACTTTAATAAAAAAAACTCATATTCAAATCTCTTTTCAAAGAAATCCAACTTCATCGATTTTTTTCGGATAATATCCCAGATGAAATGTCTCCTCATTTAATCATTCATTGTCTACCAAAAACATTCTTTTCTTCGAAATTTGATCTAAACAAGTTGAAGGGAGGTGCTCTCCTATATAATTGCTTTAAAAAATAAGATTTCAATTAAATTGTGTCTTGTATGGACCTTTTTAAAACCAAACGTGGAATAGTTGCCTTTTCTTTCATAAAACATTTCCTAAATTATTTGAAAGAATTAAAGTCAACTATTCATTCAATCCTTATATCATCCGGCAACCTTGACACTTATACACACACCCACCTACCAACATCTTTAATTACATAGTGGAAATAAGTGCTTGATAAAAGCGAATATTATGACCTAAATCAAAAAGGACATTATTACAATAATTGCCCCATTCTTTTCTCCCCGTAAAAGAATGGGACAATTCCTAAAAGTATCTCTCTTTTTGCTTGGCCAGCTACCAACTTGACCACAAACACCCATCTGCCCACCGTACAAACAAAATAAATAATTGCCCCACAATTATACAAATGTTGTGACAAATTATTGATTTTTTTTTTTTTTTTTTTTTTTTTTGCAAAGCAGAGGTGTTTAGAATATTGTTGTTTGTTTATTTATGAGAACAACAGCAACAAAAACACACATTTTGTTAAAAAAAATGACTATTGATTTTTCTGCTGCAAGTGTAATTGATGAGTGCTTGTGGGTGGTGACCTTAGTAATTTTTATTGAAGGATTCCCAATTTAGATTGATTATAATTCAGAATTCCACGTGTAAATTTCAAACACACACACACATACGTACATACAGAATATATGAATAGAGAAAAGTTAGATTTTTGGCAGATAGAAGAAGGGTTGAAGTAAAACTGACATATTCCTATGACACATGTTTTCTCTTTCTCCCATAAACAAGGGCCATGTCCTCATAAAGTCAGACAGTAAGTCCATCTGCTGACAACTAAGACATATTGAGATTTGAAATTTAAAAAAAGTCAAATTCCAATAGTGCCAAAACTTCAAGTTTATTGTCAATTTGTTGTTAGGCTAGACCTATAGACCTCCAGTCGGAGAGCTATTGGTCCATTGTGTTCATCCTAATTTAATAAGATAGGAGAGTAGAATAAAGAGAAGAGAATAAAATGAATTACGGATAGTGAAGAAGCGAGAGTCTGAATAAAGAGTAGAAAAGTTAGTAGGTTTGCATCCCCGGTGTATCAGCGTGTCGTCCTTAGCCATTTTAGTCTTCTGGCTAACTGAAGAATGACCGCTTGCTCAATGTCGGAGAGGGAGGACAAGTCTGGCAGAATTTGCTTACCCTACCCAGTAGCAGCCTCTGTCTCACTCCTATAAGAGTTGTGTAGTGGCAGAGTAAGGGCTCCACCGTCTCAGTTTCCTCCCAATCCTGACAAAGCCTGCAGTATTCAGTGTCGTCGTTGTTTAATTGGTAGGATCGTTGGATACTTAGACTTTTGTGGTTAAAAGTAGTCTACATGGGCGTCCTTATAAAGGCCTCGATTAAGGTTTCCTTGTATGCAATATTATATATCGGTAATAATAATGATTTGAATATTATTTTTATGTTTTGGAAGTGAATTTTGAAAGCTTCGACAAATGACTGAGTTATTGGGGAATAGTTTAGAAAAGTGAGAGAGAGAGAGTAATGCTTTTCTCATTTCTTCTAACCCCACAATTCATTTCCTTATAAATGAAATTTCATGGATCCGACTCCCGCCAAAGATGCAATCAGATCTCAGGATCTCTCCTTGAGTGGCAATTATTTTATTTTTAACCCAACCTCAAAAATCATTCTTTATACGAACATCATCTTCATTGTTTTCATTTTTTTCTTGTTTTGTATTCCTTTCATCCTATAAACCGAACTTATACCAATTTTTCTATTTCAAAAATATCCGTTTACTAATCTCCCAAAAAATATCTTCTCTTTTTTTTTACAGAAAATGGAACGTCAAGGCAAAATGGAAATGGTTGCCAAAGAGCGTGAAATGCAACGCTTGCAGTGTATTCCAAAGAAATGGAATCGCCGTGAGGAGTATGAATTTTTACGTGTCCTTACCGGCTATGGTATTGATTTTCTACCACCCACCGCTCTGGCGCCGGGAACCACCAACACCCCCACAAGTCTCATGCCCGATTGGACCAAATTCAAACAGATGGCCCATTTGGAGCGAAAGAGTGATGAAACAATGAGTGATTATTACAAGGTATTCATTACAATGTGTAAACGTCAAGCGGGCGTTAAGCTAAACGACAATGAGAAGGGTCTAGAGGGCATTATCGAAGATATAAGTGAAGATCATGCCAAATTAATATTGGATCGTTTGGAGTTACTTTCGAAGTTGAGAGAAATTGCCAAACATCCGCAATTGGAAGAACGCCTTAAATTGTGTATGGTTAATGCCGATACCCCCGATTGGTGGGAGCCCGGAAAACATGACAAAGAATTGATGGCTGCCGTTCTCAAACATGGCCTATATCGTTCGGAGACTTTTATTTTCAATGATCACACATTTTCCTTTGCCGATTCGGAAAAACGTTTCATACGTGAATTGGAGGCTCAAATTCAGCGTTCCATTAAACTGGAGGCCATGAATGCCGAAAAATTATCCGTCAAGGATGAAATAATTGATCTGGATGATGAGTTGCTCACAAAGAGTAGCCTCATTAAAAAGGAGAATTATTCGCCCGTGAAAAGTGAAGTTAAAAGTGAGCCCAAGGATATTAAAACGGAAGATGCTGTCGTGGAGGAGTGTAAAAAGGAGACCTCCGCCAGCGAAGAAAATAAATCGGAAAAATCCCATGACTTGTCGGTGAAAAAGGTAGAGGAGGAAATCGAATGTCAAGACTTGACAAAAGACGATGATGATGACGATGATTTGCCTTTGGCTTTGGAAAAAACCAATGATAAAGTCAAGGAGGACGAAAAGAAGGATAGCAGCAGCTTGGTCACAGAGGCGGAAAATGAAACACCAAAGAAGGAAGCTCAAGATGAAGCTGAGGCCATGGATGCTGAAGAACAAGATTTGTCCACACCTAAAAAGGATACTAAAGAATCTTTGGAAGAGAAATCCAAGGAAGAAACGGAAGAAAAGTCTTTGGATGAAAAGGACAAAGAGGAAACACCATCATCCAAAACGGAGGGAGATAAGGAAGAATCACCAGAAAAGAAAGAAGATGGGGAAAAAGAATCGAGTTCAGAAAACAAGGAACAAGACTCCAAATTGGATTCCTCACTAAAAGAAAAGGAAACCAAGGATGAAGCAGAGAAAACATCCGAGAAGAAAGAAAAATCAGCGGAAAGTGCAAAGACGGCATCTACACAAGAAGATGAAATCTTGGATTTGGCCTCAGCCACAAGCGGTTCCAATGATCCCGATGATGAGGAAGTTATGAAGGAGAAAGAAAAGGCCGTGGAAGAGGAATGCAATAAACAAGCGGCCGAATTGAAGGCTCGTTTCCCCGACCTGGAAGTCATACAACCAGGTGCCGCCAAGCAAAAGCTGGAGAAACCCAAACTGGAAATGTGCATGATACGTTGGTTCAAAGATTTTGCCTTGGAGCGACGCATCTGCCACATTGTCACCTGTGTTGAAACAGGAAAATGGCCTGTGGACAAAAGCTACTCAGCATTGGCTGGTTGTAAGGATATGGATCTGAAGATTGCCTTACACGATGCCATACCCCATCTAAGTGTGGGCATAGAGAAACGTTCTACCACACCAGATGTTATTACCATTACCACTGACCAAGGGGTTACCAAACATTTGCCCACATCACAAGTGCAACAACAGGTTGCCACAGCTGCTGCGGCGGCGGCAGCAGCAACACCAGTGGTGGCACCACCCCCACCCGTACCACCAACCCAGGTTCCGGTGCCAATACCCATGACACCACCGGTGGTTACATCCAATACCATAACAGCACCGAAAATGTCATCAACACCCACAGCCTCAAGTATATCCTCGGCAGCTGCGGCCGCAGCAGCAGCCGCTGGTCTTTCTGGTCTAGATGCCAATACCCTAAATGCTGCCATGGCAGCAGCTGTTGCTGCAGCCGGTGGAAATGCCAGTGCATTAAGTGCTCTACTGCCGGGAATGTCATTGACAGCCTTGTCTGGTCTCACCATACCCAATTCCAGTGTTGGTAATTCGGGATCAGCATCCACAGCGAACACCACCAGCACAACAAATTCGGGCAAGAAACGTAAACGTCACATTGCCATCGATGTGGAAACCGAGAGAGCCAAGCTGCATGCCTTATTAAATAGTTCTCAGTCGTGTAAGTATCCTAGATTTCCATGCGAAAACCTAAAAAGATGTAGTTTTTAATGCAATTTTTGATTTGTTTCAGTAGCTGCTAAAGACTGGGAAACCGAAATAGCAAATATGGCGGCTGCTGCATCGGGAGCTGGGACCACGATTGGTTCTTCAAGGCGTTCATCATCTGCTGCCTCGCCGGCTTCTAATTCTTCACTGGCCTCTGCCTTGCAACCACCACCGGCCCATCAACATGCTCCCTTGAGTCGTCAAACATCGGGACAATTCAATAAACCTGCCGTACCACCACTCAAGACTCCGCCACCTTCTTCGATGGGCGGTGCCATGGATTTGTCATCGAGGTAGGATAGTAAAAAAAGCAAACAATTGTCGTCATATTATTTATTCGGGTTTTTAAATTTTAATTACAGCTTGCCCAAAATGAACATGGCTGATATCATGAAATCCGCCTCAGCTGGAGCAATTGATTTGAGTGAAGTACAAGATTTTTCAATGGGTTCCAAGAAATCCTCATCGAACTCACAATCCTCGGCATCAAGCATTCATGCAGCCCTGAGTTCTGCATTCCCCTCAATGGCCAGCAAAGGTGGTGGCAAATTAGATGATACCCTCAATAAGCTGATGAAAAAGAACAATTGTGTAAGTATTGGAAAACTTGCCACCCAAAACAATTTTATCTCATCCTATCTTACTTTACAGACCATTGAAGAACCCGTTGTGGGCAAGGAAAAGAAACGCAAGAAATTGGATGAAATAGTTTTGGGTCTATCTGCGGCAAAGGAACAAAAGACTTTCCCTGACCCATCACTGCCCTCATCGAAGAAACCACAAATACCACCCAGCGTATCGGTGACACCGGCCAATGCCGCCTCTGCCATGTCTTCGCAACAGCAACAAAATCAAAAACCATTTACAATCACTGTTACGACAGTGCCCGGAAGTGAGTTTGAGTCTCTGAGCTTTACATTTAACTTGAGATTGATGTGACCAAATGGGGGGAGATTTTCGATTCACCTGCAACACTCCCCTCTCCCTTGAATAATTGTAATTAACATATGTCTATTTTCTTTTCATTTTCTCTTCAAATTCAATTATCTAGAAGGAAAAGGCAGTTCTCAATCCTCTGGAGGCCAATCATCTTCGGGAGGTTCATCTAGTTCCGGACTATCGGCTCTACAAAATATGGCTGGCATGGGTAGTCTTTCGGCCAAAGATAGTTTGAATGCCTTATTGGCCCAGACCATGGCCACAGATCCGCAAACCTTTATCAAACAACAACAGAAAATGATGCAATGCCTACCAGCCGCTCAGCGTAAATTGTATGAATCGATGTTGGCTGAAATGGAGCAGACCATGAAAATGAAGTAAGTTTCTCATTAAGGTCATTGGTTTGAATTTTTTACTAAATCTCTTCTTTTTTTGCTTCCGTTTTTACAGCGCCAAATACGGTGGTCCAATGGACACAAAGGTAGACAAATGGCTGACGGACATGGGTGCACCCTCCATGGATTATACAGGTGGCAGTGGTAGCAGTAATCCCTCGACCTCATCCAGCGGCCGAAGATCGAATCGTCAATCTTCAACGCCATCCCAGCAATCTCTATCTGCTTCACAAATGTCATCTTCCAAATCATCTGCCTCCCAGTCACACAGTCAATCCTCAAGTGTTCAACAACACCAGCAACAACAATCAATGGGTGGTCCACCACCTGGTTTGACCGGCGATGAGCCAGTTCCTGTGATCAATAAACAAACCGGCAAACGATTGTCGGGCAACAAAGCCCCGCAATTAAAGAGATTGATGCAATGGTAAGTTTCATAACCTTTCAATCAGTCAGTCAACTTTTTTACAATTTCTATTTCCAATTTTTCTGTTTTCAGGCTAACGGAAAATCCCAACTATGAAGTGGATCCCAAATGGTTAGAGCAAATGCAAAATCCCATGTCTGCACCCTCACCTAAACCAATGGAGTCCAGTTATTCGACATCAAGCAAGAGCCACACTGGCCGACCATCCTCAACATCGAGCAATGCTTCTTCCAACAGTCATTCCAATAGCCAACAACAATCCCAATCGACGCCCACATCGAGCTCATCGAAAAAGTCCTCAAGGCAAAGTGCCATGGACCAGGCGAATGCTGCTGCCATGCAACAATTTGGATCGTTGGCTGGCTTGAATCCTAATCTCTTGGCCAGTTTGCCAGGTTTGGGTTCCTTTGATCCCAAAAATCCATTGGCTGCTTTTGATCCCAAAAACCCCTTGCTCTCCATGCCTTTTGCCGGCATGCCAGGTATGGGTAACATCCCGGGCTTGGGTAATCTCAACAACATGAATTTGTTTGCCAGTCTGGCTGGCATGGGTGGTTTGGGAAATTTGGCTAGCATGGATGCTCAATCATTGGCCACTTTGATGGCCGCAGCTGGACCTGCACTGAGTGGCTTAGGAGGTATGCCAGGTTCCTCATCGTCGTCAAGCGGCGGCGGTGGTGGTTCTTCAAGTAAGAATTCTGGACAAGGATCAGGCTCTTCAAATTCGAATAAGAAACCCACAAAAGCTGAGTTGTTGCAGCAAAATGCCGCCGCAGCAGCTGTGGCTGCAGCTGCCTTAGGAGCCTCGGCTTTATCTACTGGCAATTCCGGTTCTGGATCGAACTCGAAAAATTCCGGACCAAGTGCTTCACAACTGGCGGCCGGTTTTCCATTCCTTTTCGGCAATCCATCTCTGCTGTATCCGCCCATGGGTATGAGTGGCTTAAATCCATACTCGTTGGGCTCTGCTGGCTTGGGTTCATCGGGTTTGGGTGCTGCCTACGACCAATTGGCACAGCAGTATCTTATGAATGGAGCCTCTTCAGCCGGCTCCACTTCCACCACCCAAACCAAGGCTCACCAATCACAGTCCTCGAAATCCTCCAATTCCAGATCATCTTCGTCGTCTTCTAATGCTGCATCATCGGCGGCCCAAGCTGCAAATCTTATGAATGCCATGGCTGCCAGTATGGCAGGGTCTTCAAATACCGGATCCAATAGCTCGCAGAGTAGTTCTCGTGGTCGTCAATCATCGGCCAGCAGAGCTGCAGCGCAAGCATCCGCTGAAATGGCTCAGTTGTCTAATCTTCTTATGCCACCCGCTGATGCCCAGCTATTGGAACAATTCTCACGTATGGCTAATATGGATTTGGCTCAAGCCACACGTCTAATGAATTCTCTGGGTATGCCACCCATTTCGGGAGCCAGTACATCATCCTCATCCACCGTAAGTGATAAACGGTCGTCCTCGTCCAGTTCTTCGGCCAATGCTGCAGCTGTAGCTGCCCAGCAGGCCGCCAAGGAACAACAGAAACTAATGGAGGCCTTGGCTCGAGGTCAATTGCCCACAGATTTGGCAACGCTGCAGGCCTTGTCACAGGGAAAACTTCCACCCTCCATGACAGGTGGCGGTGGTTCTTCGGGTTCCTCATCCAATGCAAATTCATCTTCCAACAATTCATCTTCGAGTAAGAGTGCGAAATCAGCTGCTGCCGCGGCAGCCGCTGCTGCTGCAGCTTCTCTGCCACAAATACCTGGCATGCCTGCTGACTTTAGTCAGGCATTCCTGGCTGAAATGGCAGCCCAGGCTATGGCTGCTGCTGGAGGTCCATTACCCCTAACCGGTCCCGGTTCCTTGGCCAGTTTAACGGGCAGTTTGGCCGGTCTGACGGGAGGTTCATCCACACAATCAACATCATCTTCAGCGACTTCGTCGTCCTCATCAAAGAGACAAAGGGAACACGATGCACTTTCCAAAGATGCCTTCCAGAAACAAATGGACTACTATACCAAAACATTGGGCCTAGGCTCAGGTATATCACTCATACCTACATCGGCGTCATCATCTGGACCTTCGTATGGTGATGATCACCACACGACCACCAAGTCAAAGAGGCAAAGAACTGAGACATCAACGTCATCACTGAAGGACGATTTGAATGCCGCCGCTGCTTTGGCTGCTGCAGGTTTTCCAATGAATTTGGGTGGCGGAATGACGAGCATAGAAAAGAGTATACGTGGCGGAAGTAGTAGTGGTATGGGAGGTGGCGGATCGGGCGGTGGTTCCTCTTCGGCATCGTCGGGATCCTCAGCTCAGCCAGAGGCAGATAAGGTCACACTAACACCTCTGAATTCGGCTGGTATTGCGGCCAATTTACCTTCACAGACCACCATTACCATTGCCCCACCAATTAGTTCCGGAGCCAGCTCCAGTAGTGAGCGGTCTGAGCGAAGTGAGTCTAGAATTTCCCTGACCATAACTAATGCAGCTGAGGCTGCCAAAATGCCACCTCCCTACGAAGAAGCCGACGAACTGATAATACAACCAATACTCAAAAAGCCGACACAACAGCAACCAAGTCCATCTGCCAATTCGTCGTCATCGTCGCACAGCAATTCTCAAGCGCCTCCACCACCACCATCCTCTCAAACACCCACCTCCCAGGCCAACTCAGCGGCCAGCTCAATGCATGGCGGCAGTGTGGAAGACTTGACACATGATTCGGCCAACAATAGTGCATCGTCGAATAACGAAGAGACTCGCCGATCTTCGGGCCGGCTAAAACGACCCAGATCGGGTGCCGATCATTCGCTGATAGCCGAACAACCGCCAGAGAAGAGACGTGAGTTACGCTCAACGCGTCACACACGTCAATCGTCGTCGGGTAGTGCCGATAATTCCTTGAATCTATCGACGAACAGTGAAACGGACGAAAGGCCGGAATGAGGTTTAAGGCGTTTAAGGAGCAAATCTATAAATAAATAGTAGAGAAGCAACACACACAAATAAAAAAACAATAGAGTGAAACCAACAAACCATCAAACACTCGGAGCTATAGAGCGAATTAAGAAGAGGAGAATAAAGAAAGATAAAAAAATATTTAATAGCAAGCGAATATTGTAAATGAACATTGCTAAAAAGATAAAGTTTAAATGTGATTTGAAAGTTTTGAAAAGAGATTCAAAAAATGTAAAGTCGAAAGGTGGAAGAAAAATATGAAATTTTAAATTTTGCAAATAACTGGCTTGGGATAGTCGTCGTACAGATTTATAACCACCCGAAACCAATAAATTTCTTTCCGAAATTTTCAAAACACATTTGAACCGCACATTAGAAAGAGAAGTGGAGCGCGTCAACTGCTGCTTAGTAGCAAATAATTAAACAAAAAAGATAAATTATAATAATTAGTGTAGGATATAATATGAAACAGTAAGAAGAAGAGAGTTAGGAGAGTATTTGAAAACTCTCCGCAGCATCAAACACAACAGTAAACTGATTAAAAGTGAGTTTAGTTTTAAATTTAAGCTATAATAAAAAATTAAATAGTTATTAAACAATTGAGAGCAAAAAAGAAAAAAGTTTTAAAATTTTTATGCTAAAATAGAAAAGAAAAGAGAAAACAACAAACAAAAAATCATAAAACAACAAAAAAAAAGATTCTTTTTTAATTTTGTAAAATATAAGCTTAATTTTAGTTTTATTTTTTAGTAATTTTATTCATTTTTAAAGGACACACACACAAACCCGACTACAAAACAAACAAGCAAACTCCCTCTTCCCCCCAAGCCCTTAAATATATTTTAGCAATTTTTTTAGATACTGGCATAAAAACAAAGCAAAAAAAAACTACAAGTAAAGAAGGAACAGTAAATTTTAATTTATCTAAGACAATTTTCAAAATTTTTCTCAATTGATTTTCGTGGTAATTTCAAAATTTATTTCCCCAATATTTTATGCATTTTCAAGGACTAAACTTTGCAATTTTCTTTATTGCTGCTGTTTTATAAAAAAAAGGAAATGTAAAGTTTAACTCATTGAAAATGTACAAAATATTGGTTTAAATAATTTTTGAAAACAAAAACTACATTGTTTTTAACTATTGAGTTGTCGGAAAGTTATGCAAAAGAATAGAAACCTACAATGGCAACAGTAACATTCATTATCAATGGCATGTTGACAAAACCCATTTTATGCTGCTGTGGTTTTCTCCAATAACATCTTCCAACATGCCATGGATAAGTGAATGTTATTGTTGTCCTTGTTGGTTGGTCATTGTCAATTGCATGTTTTCTTTTCATCTCAACTTCCCTTCTACATAAAATAAAATAAAACAAATTTTACTTATAATAACACTCATATAAATAATATACATATTCTTTTATTTTTTTTAAATAATAATAATAATAATAATAAATTGATTATACTATTTCGTATTTATTCGATTTCCACTTGTAAAATTTATCACATCTATATATAAATATAGTTTTTCGTATAAAGTAAACAACCACAACAACAACAACAAATATAATGTAACTATAATAAACAAAAAAAGAAAAACAAACAAAAAGCTTATTTTCATATATAACAAATGAAATGACAAAAAAAAAAACAAAACACAAATTCTTCTTATTTTTCCGAAAAATCCAAGAAAATAAATTCTTACGTTTTTATGTGGGGAAAAAGGGTATGTACATTTTTTCACATGTGAAATCAGCATTTAAATAATATTACTTCTTTGATGGTGTTTTAGATGATTTAGAAATGGGCTCATTCTTTAGGGGTTTTCCAACATATAACTAGGAGCTGCAAAAAAACTCTTTTCATTCAATGGAACAGTTGCAAATCATTGTAATGAAGGAGATGTGCCTTGATCTCATTTAGAATTGTGTGGATTAGTTAATATTGGAAACATGTTCTTTAAAAAAATCAACGTTTCTTAAACCGATGATCCTTGAACATTATTCTTCAAAAAATCCACCTTTCTTAAACTGATGTTCTTTGAGAAATATTCTTTAAAAATCCACGTTTCATGAAATAATGACCATTGAAAAAAATATCCTTTAAAAAATCCTGATGGTCTTTAAAATATATTCGTTAAAAAATCCACGCTTCATGAACTAATGGCCCTTGAAAAAATATCCTTCAAAAATCCTGATGGTCTTTGAAAGATATTCTTTAAAAAATCCACGTTTCTTAAACCGATGATCCTTGAAAAATATTCTTCAAAAAATCCAACTTGCTTAAACTGATGTTCCTTGAAAAATATTCTTCAAAAAATCCACCTTTCTTAAATCGATGATCTTTGAAAAATATTCTTAAAAAAATCCAACTTTCTTAAACTGATGTTCCTTGAAAATTATTCTTCAAAAATCCACGTTTCTTAAAATGATGGTCCTTGAAAAATATTCTTTAAAAATCCACGTTTTATGAACTAATGGCCCTTGAAAAAATATCATTCAAAAAATCCTGATTTTCTTTGAAAGATATTCTTTAAAAAATCCACGTTTCATGAACTAATGGTCCTTGAAAAAATATTCCTCAAAAAATCCTGATGGTCCTTGAAATATATTTTTTAAAAAATCCACGTTTCTTAAGCTGATGGTTCTTGAAAAATATTCTTCAAAAAATCCACGTTCTACAAAAAATCCTGTTGGTCCTCGAAATAAATTCTTTAAAAAATCCACGTTCTACAAAAAATCCTGTTGGTCCTTGAAATATATTCTTTAAAAAATACACGTTCCACAAAAAATCCTGTTGGTCCTTGAAATATATTCTTTAAAAAATACACGTTCCACAAAAAATCCTGTTGGTCCTTGAAATAAATTCTTTAAAAAATCCACGTTTTACAAAAAATCCTGTTGGTCCTTGAAATAAATTCTTTAAAAAATCCACGTTCTACAAAAAATCATGTTGGTCCTTGAAATAAATTCTTAAAAAAATCCAAGTTATTCAAAAAATCCTGATGGTCCTTGAATTAAAAAGAAAATATTCTGAGAAATATTCTCCAATAAATCTGGCACCTTTTTCACAAGGGGTAAAAATTTTGAGGTCAACATTTGGAATAATTATAACGCAAGTCAAAAAAAAAAAAAATACTAATTAAAAATGGGCATAGGCTGAGGGTGGTACACATTTGACGGCAAGCCCGACTGACACAATTTTTATACTCTAAGGGTAAGGGTATTCTGTCTTTGTGCATTTGATTGTAACAGCGAAATATACCCATAGTTACTTTTGAGGATCTTCATAGAATCAATTTCTGAGTCGATTTATGCATGTCAGCCCGTCCGTCCTTCTGTCCATGTATTTTTGTGAACAAAATACAAGTCGCATTTATTATCCGATTGAGATGAAATTTTCCGAACAATTTTTTTTGTCCCAAGTACGATCCCTATTGAAATTGGTGAGAATCGGTGCAAATTCATATCTTCGTCCACTTTCGGGTTGATTGTGCACCAAATGAGTAATATCAGTCTAAATGAACTGACCGACTGAATTCATACTAGAAACAAGTGCCCCAAATTTGGTGAAAATCGGTTCATATATAGCTATAGCTCCCCTATATATGTTTCATCCGATTTGAGGGTTTAGATCCTTCACATGCGTGATATGCAAACCACAGCATTGATCTTTGGTACCAGATATCAGATGTAGCTCAGAAATACCTCTGCCCAATGTTATCGAGATCGGATCGGATTTGGTTGTAGCTCCCATATATACCTTTATAAGATTTCAGGTTTATTGTGCATCAAATGGCTAATACCAGCCCAAATGAACTGAATATTGACACACCCGACTGAATTCGTCCCAGAAATAGCTGTTCCAAATTTTATCAAGATCGGTTCAGATATTTGGATATAGCTCCAATGTATATCGTTATTCGATATATGGTTTATTGTGCACCAAATGGCTAATATCAGTCCAGATTACCTGTATTTTAGCACTGAATTCATCCTAGAAACAAAGACTTTAAATTTGGTAAAAATCGGTTCAGATATAGCTATAGCTCCCATATATATTTTTCATCCGATTTGGGGTCCCTCACATGCGTAATATGCACTACTCAACATTGATCTTTGGTCCCAGAGATCAGATTCAGCTCAGAAACACTTCTGTCAAATTTTATCGAGATCGGATCAGATTTGGATATAGGGCCCATATATACCTTTATGCGATTTCGTGTAATTGTGCACCAAATGGCTAATGAATTCATTCTCGAAACAATTACTTCAAATTTGGTAAAAATCGGTTCAGATAAGGCTATGGCTCACATGTATTTGTTTCATCCGATTTGGGGGTTTAAGTCCTTCACAACAAGGTTATTTGATACCGGACTTCAGATACAGCTCGAAAATATCTCTGCCAAATGTTATCGAGATCGGTACCTTCGATATATATCTTCATCCGATTTTGCGGTTATTGTCCACAATATATGTAATATCAGCCCAAATTGGATATTTTTTTTTAATTTTCAACCGAATTTTGTCATTTGGTGAAACTCGGTCCGGTATATCCATTGCTCCAATAAATATTTTTTAATACAGTTCTCATTAAAAGGTCATATCATTCACATAAATTTCCAATAAAAACTTTTTTACGGGAGCTCTACTAAATACGCATAGTGGTTGGTGTAGGGTATCCAATAATAGGCCTCGTCCGACTTTTGATTTTGATTTGTCCAAGAAACATTGGTAAGTACTGAGATTTGTAATTATGAAATACTAAATGTTTCCATTATATTTTTTCCCGTCTTGTACTCCTTGCACTTGACAACATTGGTTTGTTTCATCGTTTTTGGAGAAATGGCGGTAGTATTGGAATTATCCTTAAAATTATTTTTTTCCTTAGATTTATTTCTCTTTTCAAAATAAAGAAATCTCTGGTTTAGGAATAACAGATTCTATATAAAAAGACGAAGAAATATCTATTTTTTAAACTTTGGAAATTTTTGAAAAATATGTATTGTCTGACTCCAAATTTACCTAAAAAGGGAATCATTACCTTTCTCTTTATTTACTGTTCTCGTGAAGTTCCTTGAAGTGAGCCATCGAATCCATGACTTTCTTAATTCTTTTACTTCATTGACCCCAACACCCCCCACAACAATTTCCAAATACAATTAGAATGTTTACAAAACAAACCAACCAACAAACAGAATAGAATTTATCTTAATTAATAAGAATAAAATAATGAAAACAAATTATATATATATTTAATAAACTTGTTGCTGCATTATATTATGATTATACATACAAAACAGGGGAGAGTTTATAAATATTGAAAATATATTAACAAAAAAAAAAAACTAATTAAACATAAACATTTTTTTTAAATAAACCAATTATCAGAAACCTATTTCTGTATCTCTCTCTCTCCCTCTTGGTCTGACTCCTCTTGAAAACCCAATACATTTGTATGTATTTTCTTTATACAATAATAACAACAACAAAATATGACTACTTTTAATTATAAGTATGATTTATAATTATTAATTACTATAAATATATACATATAGAAGAACTCCAACAACAACTATCACAACAAAACAAACCAACCATCAACAAATTGATATTTGAATTATATATACATACGAAAAAATAAATCTTAAAAAAGTGAAAAACAACTAAAAATAATTAATAAAAAATACTAAAAAAATTATAAACAAATTGTTGTTTTAATTTAAAAATTTAAAGCGAATTTTGTAATTTTTATGGCATGGAAAAAGTTCTGTAAAAAAAATGGTAAAATCACGGGTAACCAGGATGAGTATATCCCTTCATAGCAAACAAATTGATAGGGGTGTGTGCTATGTTTTTTTATAACTAGGCACAACCTTCTGCATTACCAGTCCCCCAAAAATAATCATAACCCAATATCCTCTGTATTACCAGCAAACTAAAAAAGGTAGGAAAAATATCGACTTAGTTCGCATGTTATGAAGTTATAATTATTCAAAGTGTTTACCCTTTGTGGGGGAAGTACCAGAAGGAATGGGTCGACAAATTCCAAATTCAAATCATGTCTCTTGTTGAAAGAAAGATCTACAGGGTGAGATAAAAAACTGCACCAAAGTTAAATGCCATAATTTTTACATTTTTTTTTAAATTTTATTTAATGAAACCAAAAAATGTCGGAATCAGCATCAAATTTTAGATTAAGTTTAGATTTGTTCGAATTGGTCATCTTTGGCACGAATTATGGTTTTCAAACGGCCAATGAAACCGTCACACGCTGCCCGAATGTTGCTCCGCGGTATTTTGGGCCATTCCCGGCGAAGCATTTGCTTGAGTTGATCAACACTTTGGTATTTTTTAGTGCCAACCTTGCTTTCCAAAACACTCCATACACAATAGTCCAACGGATTGGTATTAGGAGATTTTATTGGCCATTGTGCGCTAGAAATGAAGCGAAGAACCTCATTTTGTAACCATTCTTGGGTGGCGCGTGCTGAGTCCTGTTGGGATGTTCAAGGTCTGCGGCCAAAATGTTTGCGTGCCCAAGGCTTTAATACACCCTCCAGATTATTTTCGCAAACATATTCCGCATTTATTGTGATGCCACGGTCGATTAATACGAGCGGAGCGACCATCGGCTGCTATGGCGGCCCACACCATCACTATTTTTGGAGCTTGAGTTCTGGTGGCCAATCGAAGGTGCACGCACATTTTCAGCTGACCTCTTTGGCAAGTAAATACGATCATTTGGTTTACCTTCGTTTACAAACTGCTGGACAACGAATGTTTTCTCATTGGAGAAAACCAAATTCGGCAGTTCACAACTTTCGGTCAAGCGAAGCAACTCTTTAGCTCTTTGAGTCTATTTTCTTTCTGTTGTGCACTTTTTGAAATTTCAATTCATCTCACCCTGTATACCCTTTGTATCCATATTAAACAGGAATTCAACTCTAGTGCTCTGAAAATGCAACGACTCTATTTTGGAACTTTTTTTTTGACTCTTGGTCTCCTAAGAATTTTCTTTATATAACATGACCAGCCTCATCTTGTGAACTGATAATTTGTTATGAAACCCTGTGAGCAAGTTCAGAGGTACTGTCACTGGACCACGGTTGCCAATCAAATTTGAGGTAAATCTCAACCATATTCTTACCAGCCCATGGCCCGTTTCACTTGCAACGGCCAACTCTTAATCTCTGGAATGTGGATTCGGGCTCCTCGTTGGGCGCCATATTGGAACGAAATCAAGTAGGGTGTAAGGCATTCTTGTTATTCCAGACCAGAGCTTTAAAGAAGTCAATGCGCTAGTAACCTTTGGGCGCCATTTGGGCTTCTTTAAGACCCAAGACTCTGAATATCTGGAATGTGGATTCGGACCCCTCGTTGGGCGCCATGTAAGGTATGTGTATGTGTAAGGCATTCTTGTTATTCGAGACCGGAGTTTTCAGGAAATCATTGCGCTAGAAACCTTTAGGGTTTTTTAAGGCCCACGACTCTAAATAAAAGTTAAAGCCAAATCACTTTCCCATCTTTAGTCAACTTCAGATTCGCAGAAAAGTGTTCCCGAATAAAAATTGTTTCAAGCGCCCTCCAGATTTGTATTATTTTGAGGTTTGCATCCCAATTTCCCACCAAATTAGTTCTAATGCGGCATTTTGATTTCTCGATGGTGAGTTTAACTCCTCTTAAAAAAAATTCGATATAAGTGCACTTTTCGGTATAGCTCTCACATAACGAAATTTCCTGTTTTTGGAGGTTTCTGTCTCAAATTCCAAGCAAATCACCTGAAAATTGACATTTCTGTTTCTCAATGGGTAGTTTACCTTTTTTTTAAAAAAATGTTCAACGTAGGTCCACTTTTTAGCATAGTCCAAATAAACGGTACCTACCGGTTTCCGTACTTTTGTAGTTTCACACATGACAGTACTCCCTGAGAACATTCAATTAAGCTCAATATCATCATTTTTAATTTTTATACAGGGTTCCATTTAGTCTGTAATTTTGTTAAGATAAATTCCCATTAATACATTTTCAGAAAATGAAAACAATTATCAACGTTCTGAAAGTAAAAACGTAAAGCTCTCTGGCCTCGAAATATCCCTACTTACTTATTTTTAGAATTAAGAAAAAAATTCGAATATTTGTGGAAGAATCTCTAATATTTGCTCCCTTCTCGAGATAAAATTGTTCTTAAATGGATTAATAAGCCGCCCTGTTTTTCTTGCTGGCTCGACTCAGTTTCAGGTGGTTTAAGCCATTGCTAGCCGAATATAACTCACATACATTCTTTGCAGTATCCCTCTATATTTATCTCCGGAAGCAGTAAAAATGCAATTCTTCTCCATTTGATATTTTTAAAAAATTGGTATATTTTATTTGCCCTTTAATTAAATTTTGTGGCAATATCGAGTGAAATACATATGTGTTTTCTTTGTGTGTTGGTGTGTGTAAGTGTATAATAATGCTTAATTTTCTATTGACAAAAAAAAAAAAAAAAAAAATCAAAATTATCGCCATGGTATACTACATATAGCAATTGTTTGTTTTTTGTGTTAATCTTTTAATCGAATATTTTCTATAAATCGTTTTGTTAAAACATTTTTTTTCATTTTTGTGGCTTTTGTTGTTGTTGTAGGCATTATTGTTTACTTGATATTATTATATATTTCAGTTTACTTGTTTCTCTTGATGATTATACTAAAAGTAAAAAAAAGAAACTTTGTATTTTTTTTATAAATGAAGGGTGGGTGTAGGATTTGCATAGGATTCACAGTATCAACAAAGGAAAGGGAGGTTATTAAAATATCTAAACAAAAATAAACTTAAAATTAGTTTTCACATAATATTTAACAAAAGAAGGTGCTTAACCATTCATCTACATGTATTGTAAAAACATGGAACGTTCACAAGCTTCCTCTAACAATTCCTGTTTTCGTTTCATTTCTTCTGGTGTCAGCTCTCGCACCAGTTCATCAAAGCCATCATCAAATGATTGCGGTGAACTATTGTCCTCATCCCGGTGATCGGGTTCCAATAATGGTTCGCCAATAATTTGTCGTATTTCGTTGGGTAGATTTTCAGCTTCCTTTATTTGATAGTATATGGATTCGGCAATTTTTAGCGTTTTCTGTAGATCTATGTTGCCCGACAGTTCATTGACATGTTTCAGAATTTCCGTAAATTCATATTTACTTTCGATAATGATGTCGGTTTCTTGATCCAGTATAGCCACCGAGATGAGAATATGAAAATTGGGACATGGTAATTTGGTCCATAGACATTCCCATAGTTTGAGTATGTCTTCGTTGGAGAATTCTCGTTTGTACCACACCAACAGCCAACGGAAACAGAAATACATATTATCCGAATCGTGATTTTTCATGTACTTAAACAGACGTGGATTGGCAAATTCCAAGAGGGTACGCAGTTGATTGAACTGGGTTTTCATGCCGGCTTGGTCGATGTCGAAATTGGCAAACACCATGTCCATAAAGCCCACGAAACACCAAAAGGCGTCGACTTCGTTTTCCTGTAAGAAAGAAGAAAGTGATTGATTGTGGCCATGGGGTAAAGAAAAAATTTACAAAAAGAAAGTGGATTCAATATTCGATCGTGTTCGAATTTAAACTGCAAATTTTAGCAAGATCGGTTGGAGAATGTAGTCAAAGTGTTCAAAGTTCCTGAACACGGGTGGAACCAATATATGGGAACGGAAACCTATACATGAAACTTTCTATTCCAAATTGCTATGTACAGGGTGAGATGAAAAAACTGCAACCAACTTCAGACAAAATTATTCCAGTGACAGCTCACATATCACATACATGTATAACATATCGCAATATTTTATTCTGCAAATATTGAAAAATGAGCTCGGGTGGGGTAAAGCCATTGAAAATCCAAAAAGTGCCAGAACTTAAACCGCAACAGAAAGAAAATAGACTCAAAAGAGCTAAAGAGTTGCTTCGCATGGCCGATAGTGGTGAACTGTCGAATTTGGTTTTCTCCGATGAGAAAACATTCGTTGTCCAGCAGTTTGTAAACAAACAAAATGATCGTGTTTACCTGCCAAAGAGGTCAGCTGAAAATGTGCACCTTCGGTTGGCCACAAGAACTCGAGCGCCGGCCATGGTGATGGCGTGGGCCGCCATAACAGCCGATAGTCGCTTTTCGCTCGTATTAATCGACCGTGACATCAGATTAAATGTCCAATATTATCGCGAAAATATTCTGGAGGGTGTATTAAAGCCTTAGGCATGCAAACATTTTGGCCGCAGACCTTGGAATGGTTACAAAATGAGATCATTTCCTTCATTTCCACCTCACAATGGCCACCAAAATATCCGGTTCCTATCCACTGGACTATTGTGTCTGAAGTATTTTGGAAAGCAAGGTTGGCACTAAAAAATACCAAAGTGTCTACCATCTCAAGCAAGTGTTTCCCCGGTAATGGGCCAAAATACCGCAGAGCAACATTCGGGAAGCGTGTGATTGGCCGTTAGAAGGCAATAATTCGTGTCAAAGTTGACCAATTCTAACAAATCTAAACTTATTCTAAAATGCGATGCCATTTCCGACATTTTTGCTTTCATTCAATAAAATTAAAAAAAGTAAAAATTATGACGTTTAACTTTGTTGTTTATCTCATCCTGTATGTATCTTGAATTCAACAGACAGACTTTAAATCGACTTAGAATTTTACGCTGATTATGAATATATATACCTTATGGGACCAACCACGAATATTGAGAAGTGTTACAAGACGAGGGATAAATTTAATACACCCTCCTTTCCATGTCCATAATCTAAGATTTCTGTTACTATTGCTTTATCTTTATCCTACATTCGATATCGGGGGGATTTTTCATAGCCCACTAAAATTTTTGGAAAATTGATAAGCACAATAACCTTTGAAAAACAAAATCATCAATACAATTATTAAATATGCAATTAAATTCGATTATCTGTGATGTTATTTGGTTTCCGATAAGGCGATGTTAAATGATTCATTGACCCAAGAGTAATTGTCACGACATATTTGTATTTCTGTTGACAACAACAACAACCAGCAGCATATGAATGTCTGCAAATCCATTCTCTAATCTACTACCACTAACGGAATAATTTCATTATCTTTATATCTGACAATCTCATTTATTTCAAACTTACCATTATCGCCAATATGGGTGCCAACAAATCCGACATACCCTGAACATAGCCCAAATCGAAATTATATTTAACATATGTCATAAGAATGCCTTGCAACGTTGTCAGATTCGGGTTGTCTTCACCGGCAAAGTATTCCAACGAACGATCGGTACGTTTGACATCCTTCTCGATTTGGCACTTGCGATCACGATAACCCGAAAAGTTGGCCTCTTGTGTTGTAGTCATTGACAGCCATTGGGCTTTCATGTTGTAGTATTCCATTGATTTTTCTTTACGTCTTGCAATTTTCTCCACCTCCGAATCGTTCCATTGATAGTAGTTGAGAAGATATTTCCATACCTCTGGCCTTAGACTAGGTTCAATGCCACCTTGGAAAATTATTTCCAAGACACGTTTCGAATCCGAGACACGGCCTTCGGGTGTCATAAATTCTAGCCATTGATTTTCGTTGAGCGGTTTACCCCGCTCTACTGTGCGTCTTTCTGGCAATGATGGAACAATTTTTTCATCTATTTCTTTGACATTTTCCATGCCACTGGAATCCATGTCGGGCGATTTATCCAAACTGCTGCCCCTACTATGCGATCCAGATGTATTTGAGCTGTCAGCCAAACCAACCATTTGATAGTTGTCCGATGGTGGCGATGATATTTGCCTTTCTTTGGCATCCAAGGAACCGGGTCTAACACGTGGTGGCGCCTTCTGCGACACGTAGTCGGGAATATTCACCAAAAATCCCACAACTTTGTGGGGCAACCAACTTTCATTGCCCATGTTACTGGACTTGATTTCACCAATATCCAATTCAGCAAATGTTTTCTTCAGTTTTTGGGTTTCGGTGGTAAGGATGACATACTCCTCGCCACTGCGTGTTGAGGGTGTCATATCGATGATGTGTAATTGACGCATACTTCGTACAAACAAATCTGCATTGCCGTGTTGGAAAAAGAACTCCGAATGCAAGGTGCCATCTAATTTGCGTAGGAATCGTAAAGTTTGGCCACGATGTTTAACTTCAATGCCGGACAAGTCTTCCAGGCATGTCCGTATACACCTTGTTTTTAACGACCCTGTTGAGGTCTCCATGGGTTTGGTATTGAAAGCTTTACATTCAGATATCGTTCGTGATCTACGAGATATTGTATCGACTAGAGCCCAGTCTTCCTGGTCCTGGCTATCGTCAGCAATCAAGATGTTTTCATTTGGTTTCCATTCAATATACAGCCTACGTGGCGGTCCATATTCCACCAAAGACAAGGAACCACTGTTATTAAGATCGGCAATATGTTCGGCGCTAGCTTTTTTCAAGAGAACACCATCATGCGTGCATAATATCTAAACAACATCGAAAACAACAAAGAAAGAACAAAGACAAAGTAAGTCAGTAGTGCATAATATATAGATATGGACTACTTAATGATATTATTAGGTCACTTACATTTCCTGCACCCGCAAGGGAGTCATCTGTATTTGTGGTACTGCTGGTACTGGTGCCCGACATTGTTACCCCAGGGTTTTGTGACGGGGGCGATTCAGCTCCAAAACTCTCGTTGAGGACATTGAATTGCATATGTTCACAACTTTCTTCACGCTCGAAGCGTACAGAATTGATCATGTTTCTTGACTCCTGCGATCAGTCTTTCGTCTATATTTATTAGTTTCGGCAACAATCTTCGTGTGTAGAATAGGGGTTTTCCTTTTTTTCTACTGCAAAAAAAAATTTGCGTTGTTTTCCTTGTTTTTTTCGCAATGAAAATGGTAATCGACTTGAACTAATCGATAACAGTTAAATTCGACTGTAATGTTTTTAAAAGTAATCAAGTAATTGAATGACATTTTACGCGTCAAGTATTATCGATTAAAAATCCAACATGGGGCGACCGATTTAAAATATTGTGGTTCTCGTTTTATCAATTATATTTAATGCATAAAATGCCTTGAATGCCTAAATTTGTTTTCTTAATGAAAATTATAGTCAATTTGACTCAAGTGGTCTGAAATTTGGAAATAATCGACTAATTGATTTTATGCCTTGCATTGGGTAAAGTACGGTACAGACTAGCAAACATGAATGACAACTTGCATTAGAATATATGCTCTGCTCCAGAACCTGCAAGAATCGACTAGTTTCGCATATTTTTCGATATCATAACGGAATGTATTACAATGAAGAGAAGGTAGTCTAGCAAAATCAATATACATAGAAATATAGAATATTAATTTGAAAAAAAAAGGTTGACCTTTCTTTAAATTTTCATATCTTTTACTTGTTTATTCAAATTCAATGCAACAAGTTGTTTTTTTATTTAATGCCAAACAACAACTTGTTGCATTTTTGGATAGCAAATCTGACATTACAATTCATGCAGAACCTGAAAAATTTTGCCAACTTTGCTACCTTATCTTCATTGTACCACTCCAAAATATACTAAGGGGAAATCGATTATCGTAGTAAAAAAAAATACATCCTTTTTGTTCTGAAACACACCAATTGTATCATGTGCTCCGTTCCAGAACCTACAAGAATTTACTACTTTCGCATTTTTTTTCGAGTTGATAACAAATCTTTTTGAGGAATATCCCCCAGACAAAAATCAACCAACTTAACTGAAAGCGCAAAGTATAAAGAACCTTTAACTCGATTTTGATAACAATGTTATCGATTTTTTTGCAGTGTGTTTTCATTTCGAGAAACGTCACAACAACTACTCACACGTGCGAGCAATTTGGAGCAAAAAGTTAAAAAAGTCTATTAAAAGTACAAAATATTAAAAATAATTTAGATAAATTGGAATAAATATACTCAAATTCTCAATAGTTATTCTTTAATACACCTCAGAAAGTAATATAGACCTATAAATCACCCCAAAAATTGAGATGAGTGACAGCGAGACGGAGGAGCCTAAGCAAACAAATGAACCCATTGAAAATGCTTGGGCCATGAAGATACCCGCCTTCAAACCAGAAGATAATCCAAATGGACTGGTAGAGGAGAGTTCCTTTGCCACCCTCTTCCCCAAATATCGTGAACGCTACTTAAAAGAGGTCTGGCCTTTGGTGCAGCAAACGGTTGCTGAATTTCATCTAAAAGCCGAATTGGATTTGATCGAAGGCAGTATGGTGGTGAAGACAACACGTAAAACATGGGATCCCTATATTATCATAAAGGCTCGAGATATGATTAAATTGATGGCTCGTAGTGTACCATTTGAGCAAGCCAAACGTGTTCTGCAGGACGAGATCGGATGTGATATCATCAAAATCGGTAATTTGGTGAGGAAGAAGGACAAATTCGTTAAGAGACGTCAACGTTTAATTGGACCCAATGGTGCCACATTAAAATCTATTGAACTTTTAACCGACTGCTATGTTTTAGTTCAGGGTAATACAGTGTCCGCGTTGGGTCCCTATAAAGGTCTTCAACAGGTTCGTGATATTGTCATCGATACCATGAACAACGTCCATCCGATTTACAATATCAAGGCACTGATGATAAAACGTGAGCTAATGAAAGATCCCAAACTGGCCAATGAGGATTGGTCTCGTTTCTTACCCAAATTCAAGAACAAGAACATTAGCAAACGCAAACAGCCTAAGGTTAAGAAACCGAAGAAGGAATACACTCCATTCCCACCGGCTCAACCGGAGAGCAAGATCGATAAACAATTGGCTTCGGGTGAATATTTCCTAAACAAAGAACAGAAACAACAGCGCAAACAAGAGGAACGCAATGCCAAACAAACCGAAGCGGCCAAGAAACAAGAAGAGAAACGTCAAAAAGATTTTATCCCGCCTACAGAAGACACACCGTCTGCCGCAAAGAAACGTTCCGCCGATGTGGATGATAATAAGCTGGATGTTAAGGCGCTTAAAGCCAAGCTGGCGAAAGCTAATAAGAAAATGAAAAAGGCGTAGTATAATTAGCTTTTATGATGTTGCTTTTATGACTAGAATTTAAGTTTAATACATTACTAATTTTTTTGTGGAATACTTTAGTTGAAATAAAGTAGATTTTACTTTTGTGTAAAGAATTGTGATGGAGAAGATTTGTGGAAGATGTTGCTTTTAAATGGTTGGGTCAAGCAGTAGTTAGAGGCATATTTAAAGACAACGTGATTTTTGCAAACTTTTCGGTATTATATAAAAACCCGAAGTGGAACCCTATTAAATAAGTAGAAATCGTAAATTTCCGCCTTCTTTAAGGCTTTAGAATGAGATTCAGGTCATATTAACTTTCTCATTGCAAAATCGAATCCAGTTAAAATTTCGTTTTGAAATGTAAAAAAAAATCCAAAGCATTAAGATCTTAGACATTTAAATTCAGAAAATAATAGGAAGGAATAAGAACCATAAATAATTAACACGAGTTGATATTTGTTGTGTGGGTAATATTTAATGCAGAAGATGGAGAGGGTTTGAGAAAAAATATTCTTACGAACTAATAAGGTTAAGAAGAGCAGAGAAAAAGAAACTCCTTTGTACAAACCTCCGATTGGTAGGGCGGAAATAAGTACGTTATTTTACAACAGATTATATGGAGTGGAATCGCGTAAAGAACACAAAACCCTGATATTAAATCCATTTCTGCTTTTCGTGTATATATAAAGGACATGTGGCGATTTCATCTTGTTTTTACTTACATAAGCTTTTTAATTCTCTAATGCAGATAATGGAGCTTCGATACACAATAATTTGTAAAAGCTGAAAACGATCCATAGACGATCTGAAATTTAATATTTGACGATGAGTTTTTATAAAATATTGAATGTTATTTTGAGAATATACAAAAGGTTTTTGTTGTTTTTGCAGCTTTTGCTGCTGATTGTCTATTGCCTAATCTGGATCTGATTCCAACTCCAAGAATAAGAAGTAAAAAAGCTGTAAGTTCGGCCGGGAAGATCTTTGAATACCCTCCATCATTTGGAAAGATTTTGGCAATGTTTAAAAAAATAAAATCCGTTACAAATTCTTTTGAAATCTTAAAAATATCGAATGTAGCCGTTATATTAGGGTCTATACGACGACGTGGACCTGCATAGGCAACTTTTGTCATAAGCCATGACAATATGAAACTTGAATATAAAAAATTCGGTGAATAATGTAGCTAAATCGTCAAAATAGAATATAGGACCTGCACAGACAATTTGTTTCTATTACAAACTTCAAACACCAAATTTGAAACAATTCCGGTGAATAATGTCGCGAAAACTATCAAAATACCAAATATCGGGAGGTACCGTTAAATGGGGGCTATACGAAGACGTGGACCTGCACAGACAATTTTCTGTCTTAAGCGGTAGTATCCATTTTGAACTTCAAATACCAAATTTGAAACATTTCCGGTGAATAATGTCGCTTAAATCACCAAAATACCGAATATCGGGAGGTACCGTTATATGGGGGCCATACCAAAAAGTGGACATACATGACCCATTTTCAATACCAAAAGTCCTGCAGATATAATACACATTTGAGTAAAATTTTATCAACCTACTTTATTTCGTTTGGAAGTTAGAGTGATCTCCACAGACTTCGCTAAATCTACATAGAATTTTATGCTGATAAAGAATATATACTTTGTGGGTTCTAAAATGTATATTTCGAGGTGTTACAAACGGAATGACAAACGTAATATACCCTTGGGTCCATAGCGATACGACAGTTGGGATTGTGCCACACGCTGAGCTGGTGTGGTACTCTCTCTCTCTCTCTATAGATCATGAAGGTATTTTCTTACACGCAGGTTGGTTGCCTTTCTACCAGATGGGGATAAGGGGACTGTGTTTATAAGGTCCATGCAAGTATTGTATCGGCAAAAGAAAAATATGTAATATTTATAGGCTATCAATGGGGAATGTTGTACTTAAATCTTGTTTAAGGTTCACTAAAGAGTCATTTGGAAAACATTTTTTTTCTAGAGGATGCTACTAGTTTCTGAAATTTGAGTCTCTAAGATTGGGAAAGCGTTTTACGTTTTCTCACAACTTTCAAGACCGACCAAGGTACTATGGGAAATCTGGGATTCCTCAACCATATAGACCACAGTATCCGTGGCGTTTACCCGATTTTGGATCTGTCCTGGGTTGAAGGTCTTTAATTCTCGCTGGAAGATTGCCCACATACAAAGACTTTCATTGACCACACATTTTGTTGAGTATGAATTTGTTCAGAAAAATAGATTATTAAGTTTGTATCTGCACCCCAGTGGCTTCACAATGACAGTTATATCTTAACAAGAATGCATGAATGCTTCCGAAATGTTGGAGGTCAACATTTCGGGATTAAGAAACAATAGTCAATGAACTCCGATGAACTCTATGGTCAATGCCGGAAAACCGAATGCAGCTTTCGTAGACTAAGAAATAAAAGTCATTATAAGACTCCCGAGGTGACGATACAGTGAACTGTCGTTGGCAACAATTTAAGAAGTGGGTTGACTTCATGGATGTTTAGAAAATAATATATAGACCAAAACGCCAACAACATTTCTTTCCGACGAGAATCAAATCTATTCTTTAGGACACCATCAGTCCATTTGTAGATCAAAACCTGTATATTAAAATATGAAATTTTCTAATCTCAGGAAAGGCAATAGTAAGATCTATGATATGAGGTCGATTATACACCAGAGAGCCTTTGTCATAGGGTAAAAAAGCAAACGTGGGCGGTAAGACATTTTCAATGATATGTATCTCCTTCGTTGTAGGTAACTGCAAAGAGCTATAACAGATGATCATCTCGATGAGCGAGGAATCGGTGGTTTTTACTAAATTTCAATCAACGGAAATCCAAATGTAGTAAATTTAAGATAATCCAAGAAGATACTATCACTTCCTGGCAAATATATGTATGTTTAAATTAAAAACTCTCAAGCGCTAACGATAAAGTTTCATCAAATGATTAGCAATATTTTCCAGCCAGAAAAGAGGAATACTTGGAATTGCCAAACAACATTATTTAAAACATTAATTTCCCAACCTTGTTGGAACAAACAAGCCACGGGAGGAAACATAAACTATCGCCACATTCGACGCCCAACCAAAAAAAGCCAAAAGCTCAACAATTCAAATTGTCCATGACATAAAGAGGCTTGAATTATTAATGAAAACAAAGTCATCGACATGAACTGGGCAGGGGATTCTACTGCTGGTGAGATCCTGAGGAACCAGAAAAAAGAAATGACCTTAAATGCGTTTTTAATTTCATTTTTCTCACTTAAATTTTAATAACATAATTTGTATCAATTTATTTCCCTTAATCTTTTTCATGTTCCTCTCTCGATTCGGCTTGATTTTTGTTGCGGCTGCCCTGCAGTAAACGAATTGAATGACTTTGGTCAGCAGGCAAGCGCGGCCAATGACATTAAAACAACAACGCCAATGCAGGTATTACAGTCGAAAATCCGTATCGAAACTAAAAACCTTAACATTGTTTCGTAAGCTGTTTGTTCCCGGACGGAACGGGCGATTATAATGCGTTGGACGGCATGTGTGTGGGTATTAAATATGGAAGATGGTACCTTTGGATTGGAATGAGTTCTGTTCCTCGTGCAATTAAATATCACTCATATTTATTCGATTTCCACCTCTCTCTCTCTAACAAATACCGAATGTTCTGTTTTTACACCAATTGGTTGGCAAAAACTCTTGGCTAGGACGAACAAAGGATGCAGCGTGATGGGATGACGGGGCTACGTTATTTTAAATTTCATTTTAATCATGGATTCTCGTCCCCTTTGGCCTTTAATATTTGTGTATGTAAAATTTACGGAGCTACTTGGAAACTCAACCATCGATAATGGACAAAACGTAGCTGTGAAGGCAATCAAAGTTGGTATGCGTGATGAGGAGGGCACAGTGATTTGGAGGAGGAGATTTTAAGGAAATTAGCCATTTGAGGAATGAGCTCGGACATTATGGGAATTCTATTTCAAGGACCATCAGACCAATAAAACGTTTATTTTTTAAAAGATATTTTTCTAGGATTTTTTTAATAATATTTTCCAAGGCCATCTTAACAAGAACCATTCCAACAATAAACGTGGATTTTTTAAAGAATATTTTTCAAGGACCATCCCAACAATAAACGTGGATTTTTTAAAGAATATTTTTCAAGGACCATCCCAACAATAAATGTGGATTTTTTAAAGAATATTTTTCAAGGACCATCCCAACAATAAACGTGGATTTTTTAAAGAATATTTTTCAAGGACCATCCCAACAATAAATGTGGATTTTTTAAAGAATATTTTTCAAGGACCATCCCAACAATAAACGTGGATTTTTTAAAGAATATTTTTCAAGGACCATCCCAACAATAAATGTGGATTTTTTATAGAATATTTTTCAAGGACCATCCCAACAATAAACGTGGATTTTTTAAAGAATATTTTTCAAGGACCATCCCAACAATAAACGTGGATTTTTTAAAGAATATTTTTCAAGGACCATCCCAACAATAAACATGGCTTTTTTAAAGAATATTTTTCAAGGACCATCCCAACAATAAACGTGGATTTTTTAAAGAATATTTTTCAAGGACATTCCCAACAATAAACGTGGATTTTTTAAAGAATATTTTTCAAGGACCATCCCAACAATAAACGTGGAGTTTTTAAACAATATTTTTCAAGGACCATCCCAACAATAAACGTGGATTTTTTAAACAATATTTTTCAAGGACCATCCCAACAATAAACGTGGATTTTTTAAACAATATTTTTCAAGGACCATCCCAACAATAAACGTGGATTTTTTAAACAATATTTTCCAAGGACCATCCCAACAATAAACGTGGATTTTTTAAACAATATTTTTCAAGGACCATCCCAACAATAAACGTGGATTTTTTAAAGAATATTTTTCAAGGACCATCCCAACAATAAACGTGGATTTTTTAAACAATATTTTCCAAGGACCATCCCAACAATAAACGTGGATTTTTTAAAGAATATTTTTCAAGGACCATCCCAACAATAAACGTGGATTTTTTAAACAATATTTTTCAAGGACCATCCCAACAATAAACGTGGATTTTTTAAAGAA